GCATTCTCGTGTCCACTTCGAAGATCAGTTTGGCGCGTTTTAAGGTTGCAGGAAGTTGTGATGTAGGATACTTCGATGCCTAGCGATGTGTACTTGTCAAACGGAGGCGCACGTGCATCGCTCAATTTCACAAAAATGCCTGGAGAAGGAAGAGAGTGGTGAGAGGGATTCCTGAGTCCGATTGGTCTATTTTGGTGCGAATTTCGCCCACGGGATGTCCACCAAGCGATCAGTTTCCCAGTGGACTTCAGACCGGTTTAAATCGACAAAGCTTTCCAAATGATAAGTGCATTCTGTGTGTGAGATTTAGTTAAGTTAAATCTTGGTTTATACATGGTAGATAAGAAACATGTAGTTTAGTGTAGCACATTTGAATGCCCTCGTGACGATTGTTGCTGCTCCTTGCCGAGCAACTGTTAGGTCGGAGCGTGGAATCATGTCTACATTCGGGAAACATCTGAATCTGCGGATTTAATGGCCATCTGCGTGATTATGACGAGAACATCTGGTCAATGTGGTGGGACCGTAGTTATTAGGAATGTTACATCGTTCTGAAATCGGCGACGGCCCAACATAGGCGCAGCATGACGTGATCTCTACCCTTTGAGCAACACGATGTAGTCCTTAATGTATGTGCAGGAATATTCACTAATTATAACTTCGTTATGATTCTATGACTTGGGACTGAAAATTATTGCGAAATTGGTCAATGACGATTATACTCCAGTTGGTAGTCTTTGCATTTTCGAATGTTGATTATTAGATTGATTCCACTTCTCATCTCCTGTACCAGGCTGTCGAAGACATGAACCGACTTCTTGCCACATCTCCCTTTTTGGGCATCTTTTTCATTGATTTCTAAAGAACGATTGAATTGAGGAAAATGGCGTTTGGGAATGAGGGTATCAATGTTGATTTCTTTGCAAGGGATCAGCCCCAGTTTCAGAAAATAGAAGATAAATTGCTGATATCATCGTTCGCCCTGTCGCAACATGTGCGTCATCTTCACCGTTGGTCTTCCTTGGATCTCCATTTAACAACGAGAAGGTCGAAAGCCTTTTAAATCACACAATAAACACACTAATTGTCAGCGAATACAGTAACCACGTGGGTTCCGTAAGAGTAAATAACGCCCGCAAACTATGTGGTCGTGTTTATTCAATTTAAAAATAAATCACTACTTATGGGGGTACCCAATACCTATACGCAATGCAATTTGCCTTAGTGTAAACGCATGTTATCTTCAGCTTCATTGTAAACGCGAGGACAGATTAGATGATAAAGTAGACGTCGAGCACGACATCAAGAAATGTGCTGTTTGAGGGTACAATAAACGAGGGATCAGGATTACAGATCTTCAACTAGGACAAAAAGCAGATCGAGATAACAATGAAGAAAGACATTAGGAATTAGTGGTGTTAGAAGTGACATCACCTAGTTCATGTTTATTAGACGTTAGAGTTTCAAGTTAAAGAGCAAAAGGGCTGGGAGGTCGAATTTTGCGTTCATCACAAATTCTGGCAGTCTCGACCAATCACAATTCCCGCACATGCAGACGTCCGACCGATTCAGAGTGTAAGTATAGTTCGGCGGAATTCTAATCCCTACGCACTCTGAAATACTAACATCTTGAAAATGGTTTCATATAGAAAGAATCATAACCTCGTTTTAACAGAATATCCAGCCGCATAGGATTGCTTGCTTCCCAGACTTACACAAGCGATTGCCGACGAGAACATGTAACCAAAAGCGTGGTTGCGATCAGGCGATTCGACAAGGATTTTTCCTTGGATCTAGGAAGAACTCATAAGACGATTTCATTTTCCCGTAATACTTCCACTTTGGTCGAATTTTGTCCCCACAAAGGTGAAAAAGAACGAACAGAGTGGGATTGCGCAGCATCAATTTTCAGGAGGAATTTAGCGTGATCTCAGGACAATGACATGCCTCTCCAGGCCACAGATCTGGCTTTCTGTTGTCGGCTAAGTGAAGTGACGGAAGCCAGTGGGACAGCTCATCAAATGCAAACATAAATGCCAGTCTGAACGTCATTACAAGTGCGTCCGAAATTTGAAGGCCTCGTAGGGGACAAATGCATTCAATGATATGGGCATTCCTGAGGTCAAATCGAACACTAGGATATGTCACGTCTACGCCAATTTGATTGGTTCGTTCAGTAAGCAGGGCTGTTAACAGCTGTCACTAACTCCAAACGCTCATCTGGCCTGGCGTGCACACACGTCAAACATGAGAACGCGTCGAATGGTCGGGAAACTTCGCAAATTACAGCTCTAACTGGGAAACCTTTTGGGTGTTTTCCTGCCTCCTTAGCTTGTCCAATCAGTGATCACAAAGGTAACATGGATGCCCTTCTAACAGCTGCAAATCAGCCTGGCTTCATGCATGCCAATTCGTAGGCAAAACTACAGGTAAATATCTAGTTATTTTAGAAGCCAAGAATCACTAAACTAGGTTCAACGGTGATGCCTGCTTGTGAGCCGAATTTTACAGTGGCCAGTATAGTTTGACAAATGTGGAAATATTTTTGCAGAAAATCGTTAGAAAACGACGGCAAAGTAGCTAAGGGGCCTGGTCGCTTGCCTCCTAATTAGATGCCTGGGTGTGTAAACGAGTCACACGACAACGTGCGTGCAAGGCCTGGCCTAGAAAACACAGCATCCAGGGCAGCTGGGAAATCCAGGCCAGTTGCAGAGAACAGCCTCCAGGGCCAAAACTGCCCCACATCGTATGAGATCTCCTGGCGTCAAACAGATAGCTCGAATTAGAACCGAAATAAATTATGCGTGAGATTACGCACATAACGCGATGGCCAGGCGGGTGAATCGACAAGGAGACAGCCACCTCTACCTGCCAGATGTTCGCATTAGGCGACAGATGTCCCACAATACAGTAGATCTCGCCGGCGCCATACGTCTAGACTAGCGATGAGTGGCTGGAATGATTGTGGTACACGATTAGACTTGCATATCACAAGAGTAATTAGGAAAAAGCTGACAAAATTAACGCGAAACGCAAGGGGTTGGTACAACGATTGGATGGATGATTCAACCAGGAAGAGATCATGCAGAACTAGGATCATCGCGCCAATTTTTCGACACATCACTCAATAATTGAATATTGGGGGTTGCAAATGCACAATTTTCAAAATAAACGTTAAACGGGACAGTGGTAGGGAATTTCCAAGTCTGTACCTTAAAAGGGTACCCAGAGGAGTGTGGATCGATGAATGAGTAAAACGGCACATTGTGTAAATCGGGTTGTTCATCCCTAGCAAACTGGACTTCGACCCCTAATTGGAATGAATCTCCAAAATCTGGGTTAAAAGTTTTTCTTACTGGAATTTTCTGATCGAAATGTTGTTGCAGGAGTGATGGGACTGATTCCTGAAACCTCCTTTACGAGGAAAGTACCTGAGATATCTCAAAATAGGAAATCATTGGTTTTTCGGATGATGTCTAGTCAGCAGAGCGTCGGGAAGGCATAGCGCACAATTAGAATTCAATCAAAACGTTAAAATCGCAAGTGACAAAGTGACTGTGGGGAATGCGACGGATTGGTGCGAATGGATCATGAGTCAGAGTTGGCATGGTGATGGGCTTCGCGATAATTTGATTCGAAACCCGGATGGTATTTTAAAAAATTGGGTTTGTGAAATAGAGGGTGCTGTGTGTACTCGAAGAGCTGTATTTAAACAAAGGCGTAAGAAGTTGAGAGGAGTTGCGGGTCTAATAGACGCCAGATGAGCGGGTAAGCACAGAGTACGTTCGGATGGATTGAGAAACCAGACACTATAGTGCAACGACAAAAACTTTGAGAAATTAAAATACCAGAAGGAGGTAGATCGCGTAGGCAACAGACATCTAAACAAAGGATAACGCTTCCATACAGCTTTGAAAACCGATGACTGTTATAGACAGATGACGGTTATATCAGTATTTGTGAAGAAACGAGTGAGCTGAATTCGTAGAAACTCCCGATCCAAGGACTCCAGGTCGTACGTTCGACCAATGATCTTACAGACGCAGAAAACCTCAAGGCCGGAACGATGTGGTGGTTAATTGTGCATTATATGTGTCTAATTTACCGAGATTCGGTATCAGGACATAATGGAAACTGTAGACATTACTTTGCAGAGCTTTCTGGGAAAGCTGTTCCGTGTCCGACCCAAAGAATGATGATAATTGAAGCTGTTCTTAAACTGTCGCAGAGCGACTGAACATCCAAAGGGAAAGAGCTATATTTATCAGGCATACACCAACACGATTTGGCTGCACAATGTGCAGGTGTTTTGCAACAGCTATGGTTTCAATAACCAAGTTTTCAATGTATTGGACTTGACAACAACTAAGGTCGAAATTCTGCTAAAGCTCGCGTCCAAATGTACCTGATGAATGGGGTGCATTGTCGGAGTGAAACGGCATCCGGTCGCTGTGTACGATAAAGCTACCGCGTTCAAAAAACATTTCACAGGCATGGGAATGCGGCGAGATCTACTTGTTTAAGCACATACATGGCATTGTAGATTACGCAGATGCATAAAGAGCCTAACAAATTTGGGTAGTAGAATAAAAAGATATACCAACCTAGCTCAAAGTGATCTCGAGGGTGCGAACGCTTTATAACAGATGCACGAGGACAAGGTGGAGTGATGAGAGCATCAAATCAAAGCCACAATCATCGAATAACCTACGTTGTGGATCACTTTGATCGCCTGCACGGGAGGGTCCAAAGCACGGCATCTTGGATGCGATGGTGACGCAGTTCTTGTGGGTTTTCATGCTAAAATGCATTCACAAAGTAAGAAAGATGGCCAAAATGCTGAAGTCCCCACACGGGGAACACGGCATTCGACAACGTACTTGCAGTAAACACAATGCGGAAAACGTAGGGTAAGCCGACCGTTGCACACAGCACACGGGGTGCCTCGAACGAAGTCGGTAAATTTTGCTTCACTTTCGAATCTAAAATTGAAAGCCCCGCTAGTTAGTGTGGGCTGCAGAGGGCACTCGAAGCACATCTAATAGCGTCACCATACCGGTGAGTATGGCCTGGTATTGGTAGATGAGCAGATCCATTGAGGCTCCCAGGTACAGCAAGACGTCCTAAAAGATGTGATAGAACATACCACATATGTGAGTATTAAAGATTCAAAGCCATGAAACGAATCAAGGGAGGCTTTAAAACGAGGTAATGACGTTTCCAACTAATGTGAGCCACCTGATACACTTACCACTTTGTGAAATCACGCTCGGGTGGTGTTCAGGCCGAGAATTAAATTTTGGAGAAGGAGGAGCATTGGCGATGTGCGTTGGCGTGGAAAAGCAAAAAACATTCGAGTCATTGGCAGCCGGGGAATGGGAATCGGGAGTGTGGAAAACATTTGCTACTCTACCGGGATTTTTCGATGTAGTATGACTAGTCTTTCCCGCACCATTTGAGCTGGGTAGATAAATTTTACTAGCCAGATTCGATTCATGGGACTTGCTGCGATGCAAAGGGAATGTAAACTTGATTTTGTGCTTTGAAGGAGGTGTGGCTGGCATTTTGATAGCTTTATCTCGATTTGTTGAACCTTTCTGAAAGAATCCTGGATAAAAGGAGCATGGTGAATGTGGTGGCGTACTATCGGTGGCACTAGTATAGGAGGTCGACATAACAGCACCCTTTGCGGGAGATTTCTGGTGTATGGGAGTACCGAAAACTCGAGGGGCGGGAGTGGATGGGACAGAAAGAACACCGTCAAGTATATTTGACTTTGCAAGATTTGAGGAATTTGCTCGATGCGACACAGGGGAGAGAGCACGACAAAAGCGATGGAATGGCACGGGAGTTTTTGATCGCCTAGAATTCCGATTTAAGGTCTGCGTTGACAAATCTAAAGGATAAGGTGGATGGTTGAAAGAGAATTGCAGATTTGGCGGATTTATTGAGAAACACGATGAGGGATGACTTTCGGAGCCAGATCGCACGGAAGGAATGGGGGGAGAGGTCCTATCAATCAAGTGGTCAATCTGGATACCATGGTCAGAGCTAAATCTGCCCGATCGCAAGAGCCGCTGACTGCTAACCATGCCATTTGATAGGTTGTTTGATGGGCTCATACAGTTTTCACCAAACTCTTGGGGTCCAGTAACGTAAAGAGGAGGACTGGAAAGGGGATCACAATGAAGCAGAACAGCCCCGTCCGGCTTCTCAAACCCAGGAGAGGGCTCAGATTTTTCTGTAAGTTTTATGACTTGTTTTATTAGATTACGCGTATCATCTTCAAAGGGTTGATCGCTTTCCAACAGGTCAATGTTACAACGAATTTTTGAAAGACCCATTAGAATTCGGTCAATATCTTCCAACGGAACACAATACACACTCAAAAGATCCCTAACTTCGTTTTCTTGCATATCCAAAAGTTTGAGAAAAGTTATCTCTCGAATGTAGAGGAGACCGTGTATGGTGTCTTCATCGATGCCCAAGCAGCGAAAGCACGATAGTGAGCTTGGGTATTGAACAAGAATCGAGTCAGCCACATCCTCCTCCGCATTGCAAATTTCCGAAATTTGCTGCGCAATATATTCAAACGTTTTATTCTAAAGTAATTAACAAATTTCGTAGCAAACCTCTCCATCTTGGATTTCCAAATTGAGAATATCGGAATATTCATGAGATTTTCGTAGCTCCCTTCGAAGAGGATTAAGGACATAATTTAATGTAATAAAAATGAGACTTTGCAAATCAGTGCAGAACTGAAGCGGAGTTTTGCTGCTCTCGCCAACTTCCGCGGACGGCATCACACTACAATAAAGTATAACCCAGAGCAGATTCAATAACTGCGCCCAGTTACCTATGACCTAACCTCTGTTTAAATTGACACACTAGTTAAGGTACATCCAGCATTCGTAATATCAAAGAAGTATTCTCGAATGTAGCGTAATAAATATGCAAAAATCACATCGATAAAATGTAAATACATTTATTTATCAAAGTTCATTTTTGTGAAAACCTTTTTGGCATAATTTTTTATAGCCTGACATGTGTATGTAACTCGTTTACAAAGACCATATTTTAAGCAATAATACGACAGGGTGCTGCTTATTTGTAATCATTACGTTAGCAAGTCATTAATTTGCTTCAGCGACTTCGCGACAAAATCATTTATCACAAAGTATCCAGAATCTTCCATTTGCTAATTTATCTTTTTTTCTTTCGAGTGAAATTCGAAAAACATGAATAGGGTCATTGCACCAATTTTCGCCTTTTTCATGTAAGCAAAAGGTATCTCGTGATAAACTAAGACTTTGGCGGTACTGAATAAATTTTAGAATCTCCCAAATCTAGGACAAAATCGTGGACATGAGGAATCTGATACCAGTTATTGTTCCATTGGAAATTTTTGCGTCTTTCAGGTAGCTAAATAATAACAAATATATATACGTGCCAACATTAGCTGGATTTTTTTTTGACTAGGCTGGCGCAAACGGAAGGCCGAGTGTTGTCGACATTAAAATGTTTGAAAAAAATTTACCCATTCACAATAATAGGCTTGATTTTAAGGATTCACCGCCGTTAATACCATTTACTTTAAGCATTTGATAATTTTTCAATTTTCATCTTCTTTCGTGCCCTGCAAGCCATCCTTTTATGTTCATATTGCCCATTCCCTTTTTACTGGCCCATTTACATTTTAGTGCCCTTATTCTTTTCCGCACTCAAAATGGTCTACGCTAAGGATAAATGTTTACAGGTAAAACGTGCACTTAAGTATTTGCTGAGACAACAAGAGCTCTCTGCGGGCGTTGGTAGTCCTTAAAGTAATGCATCTTTTGTCAAAGTGCAGATGTGAGAGGCGAAAACGTGCTAACATATGAGGTCTCATTATTCAGGCTATAATTAATGCATTTTGAGGCGGTAGGGTAAACGGTGACAACCTGTTTTTCTAACAAGTTATTTAAATTCTTAGTAATTACTCTGAGTTCAAAGGGGACGGTTTGATTTCTCATGTCTTAGAAGAGAAAGCAAAGAATAGTCTATGCCATTTCTCCTATCTTCTCCGACAAAGTGTAAGTGTTTTTAGACCACTTAATTTTCTTAATATTAAGCTGAAGAAATTCATCAAACTTTGTAGAGAACATTATCACCTCAATTGCTACCCTTTGCCAAACAACCCATTATCTAAAAAAGCTGAAAAGGGTAAGAATCGCCCACATTGGCATCAGAAGTGGGACGCTTAGTACAAAACTTGGTCGAATTAGTACTTTTATATGAAGGGCGGAATATACGTTAATGGGTCTATTAGGAAAGCATTAAATCTAGCAAATCAATATTTTAGCAGTAAAAACTGCCAGTAGTGGTAAGACCACATGGAATGCTTAAAAAGCTTAGAGATGATCTTTTAGTGGCCAAACTTTTCCAAAATTTGAATAAGTCAAGTGCGTCGCTGAAGTCACTCAAAAGTATGGGACCAGAATTATGTTTTTTGAACAGGAGATTGCAGGCATTGGGGCTTGTGATGTAAAAAGTTTTAAATGATTGTCAAATTTTTCAACAAACCCAGCAATCAGAGCAGCCACCATATGATTTAATTTGCATTTACAAGCCTAAAACCCTGATTTTTAACATTCTGCATTAACCCGAGAACAGAAAGAAGCAGGTTCCAGCGAATTCGGCCATTTCTTAGCTTTGTAGCAATCTTATGTTATATTACGTGGAAAAGCAAGTGTGATTTTCTAGTGACAAACTACAGCAACCAATGAACAACAAAGGTGAATCAATAACACTGGTAGTTTGCTTTAATTTCCCCCAGTGCTGGACGAGAGTTGAAGGATTCAACCTAACCAAAAGGTTTAAAGAAATCACGCTAGATCAATTAGCTGCTGCAGTTTGCATACTTCAAAATATTTACAAAAATGTTGGAAGTCATTGCGTCTGCACATACCGCATAGTGCTGACATCTCAAGGAGAAATGTGACATCAATCTTATCAAAAATTCTTAAAATCAATTCATCGCAGAACTTCGGGATAAGGGGCAGCATAAAATTCAAAAAAATAGTCAATAATTTTTTAGTTATTAATTCCTGTTTCTTTTAGGAGGGATCAGACAAAAAGATAGTACAATTTGATATTGTTCTCTAGAAACCCAACCGTTGGTTGCGTCGAAATTGAGTAATGCTTTGACCCGGAATGTCACGGAGGAGTTAATGGAAAAAATATGCTTAGTAAAAGTGTTACAGTCCAAATAATTTTATTTTAAAAACAAATTGTTTTCGGATCTATTTCAAATCCTTGGATGCAATTGGTGTGTTTCAGTAAATATCTGAAGGCCAATATGGCGATGAATATCACTTCTGGAGCAGCTGGCGGTTGGGCGCAAATATGCGGATCTTAAGCAAGAGTATCGATCGATATTCATCAGGTAGTATAACACTTATTGCCGAGAATGAAGAAGACATGTGGCTTATCTACAATCTCGTTCAAATTGGAGACAGCTTTTGCTGTTCCACAGTGCGCAAGGTTCAGACCGAATCATCCACGGGCAGTGTCGCGTCAAAAACCGTTAGAACAACTCTAACCATAGAAATTGAGACAATTGATTTTGATACTCATGTAAGATTCGTCTCTTTTCGCTTACCCTTAATCACCTTTGTTCGATAAGTTTGATTTGTATCTTTATTTTTTGAGATTTGGGGATAATTATATTAGCGGATATTGTGTTTAGTTAACTAATTGCAGTAATTAGGCCTATTAAGTGAATTTGCTGACGAGACCGTTATTTGAACATTGGCTTCCTTTAGATTCATACTTTGCTCCTTGGCCCGAAGCTCGTATAAGTTAATGAGTCCCTACAAGGTTTCTCAGTTCTTTTGCTGCATTTACACAAATTCACGGCAAGAAATTTGTTTAAGAAAGTGGGCAAATAATAATACATATATTTTTCGGCTCTTGAATGTATGTTCCAAATCCCTTTTCCGTTACTGTTTTGTTAACTGGGTTTCTAAAGCCTTTCATGACCGCCTCGTTGATATGCACATGCTTAAAATTACTGCTGCTAGGTCTGGGAAAATTTATCATAAAAGACAATCGGCCAAAATTATCTAGCTCGAACCTCTAAAACAGGTGTTGATTTTTATCTGCCTTCGGATTAGTGACGAGTTATTGCTGACAAAGCACGAGCGAGTTCAGTCATGTAAGCTATACACCACATCTAGGTGATTGTGGCCTTGGTTTATTCTGCAATTGGTTGCCGTTGTGATTGTGGCCCCATAGTTCGCGATAGCTGATACTCTTTCCTTAAATCAAATACGAATTTAATATTTTTTAGGTCGTCATCAAGGCAAAAGTAGCATTCTAGAACTTCACAAATGTGAGTGAAGGGCATGTATTATTGATTTCACTTCACTCGTACGTTTATAGGCCTCTTCTAACAAGTTATGAAGTTTGACCGAATTTAAGTGAAAATGGAAATTTCGCCGCCGTTTGCTAGGCTTTCGAGCACAACGTACATTTGTAAAATTGGTTTCTTGCTTGTGTAATCTTATAATCCGCTTTTTTTGTTTTAGGGTTCAGTTCTTCATCTGAAGGGCCGAAATATCGTCGAGAACCAATTCGTGAAACTAGGCGCTTACCACACACTTCAAATCGGCATTCAAGACAAATTCACGGTCTCTAAACAGGAATGGGATAGTGTTGCGCTACTTCTAGTCGACCAAGCCGGCGATCCAACGCAGCAAGCCGACGTTGCCACCGTGATTATGCACGAGGGACTGGCGTATGTCTGCTTAATCACCAATTCAACCACTGTTGTTCGCGCCAAAATCGAGAGTACCATTCCCCGAAAAAGGCCCAATTTACCAACTGCGCAGCATGACAAGGGAGTTACCAAATTCTTTGATCAAATCATTCAAGCCATAGAACGTCATGTCCGCTTTGATGGTAAGCGCTGAGGAAGGCTGACGCATTCGCGTGCTACTTCAAGCCCTACACCCTGAAATATTCCTCCTACTTTCAGTGGTGAAGTGCGTCATCGTGGCTAGTCCGGGCTTCCTCAAGGACCAATTCTTTGAGTACCTGTGTCAGGTTGCTACGAAGGAAGAAAAACGCGTCTTTTTGGAGAACAAGGGTAAATTTATGCTGGTGCATTCTTCGTCGGGTCACAAGCACGCGCTAAAGGAGATTCTGGCCGACCCAATGGTCGTAAGCAAGATTGTCAATACCAAGGCGGCGGGTGAAATCACTGCATTGAACGATTTCTACCAAATGCTCAAGGTCGATTCGTCTCGTGCCTTCTACGGGTGCGTTACTGAAATAATCTTGTTGCGAAATTGACGTGCCATTGGTTAACTTGCGTAACCCCTGTGGAGGCTGAATCAATTGTAATTATCTTTAACCATAACTAGGGAGTTATCAAATTTTCCGACTATGGTTCTGTCAACGTTTGTATTGTGTCCATGCGTGGCGTGAAATCAGCCTTCCTCTGTGATAACAGTGGAGTAGCCTTGGTTGACTGTCAGATGAGATTACAAAACAGTAACCAAATACGTCGATGCCGAGTCTATTGGCTGATTCAGCGATTCGTTGACCTCGCGTTGAGGCCAGTTCGTCACGAGTCGGCCAAGTCACGTGACTTACTCCTTGCCTTCGTTGTCTACAGAATTAAGCACGTGGAAACAGCGGTTGCGGCGTTCGCCGTGGAGACCCTTCTCATCTCAGACGCCCTCTTCCGTTCACGGGACTTGTCGGAGCGCAGGAAGTACGTCTCGCTTGTCGACACCGTTAAGGAAAATATGGGCACTGTGCGAATATTCTCTAGTCTTCACGTCTCCGGTGAACGTAAGTCATGGACTCAAAACGGTTTACGAGTTTTTGCACGCAGTAGCCACGTGTCTATTGCTTTTCTTTTCGTAGAATTGAACCAGTTGTCGGGTATTGCAGCGATCCTTCGTTTCCCCATCCCTGAACCCGAATCCGACGACGAGGACGCTGAAGGGCTGGATTTTGAGATGGAGACTGCTTGAGAACCTCATTTAGTCCCTGTCCCGCTGTTCTTTCTCTGTACAGAGACCTTGCTGCCCCTGTCTCCTTAGTTTGCGACAGGTAATATGAGTTCAATTGCCGTGGAATGCTTCGGATTTTGACAATGTACGAGGTGGATGGGTTCCTGGAAAAATCACCGATGCGTTCTACGTTCATGCCATAGCAATGTTTTACATGAGTGACCAGGCCTACAGCAACGAGAATTTTGCCTTTGTGATTTTAAGACACGAATGTGATCAATGAAAGCTACAATTCAGCATTTATGCTACAGCTACTTAATATTTATAAGTAGTAGATTATATTATGAGTAGCGTTTGACTTCATCACGAATCTGAAGTTTGGTTTATACAACTAATTCCGCCATTCCAAAGTCTTCGATAAGTCAAAGGAACAGAATCGGTGTTTCAAGTGCGCATAGAGCCTTCGGAAGTGGAGTTCGCACCCAGAGTTACCAAGGAGCCCGATTTTGATTCAGCCTCAAATTCGCAAACTACCCTAAGCACATCTCACGTAGGTGTGCTAGTTGTAAAAAGCTTGAAAATTGGGACGAATAAAATAAACTTAGGCGTGATTTGGTCGCGTTTATGTTCTAGTTTCAGCCGTTAAAACGAACTCCTGAGTTATTTGGAGGGCTTGAACCGAGGAATTGAATTTGCTTATTTTCTTGTGGCTTTTCAAGTAGCAAATCTCGACAAATTGTCGGCAAGTATGGTGGGTGTAACTTAGGGCAATTCGCTACTGTGGAGTTGGTGCGTTTTTACCCGGTATGTCGAGGAATACTTGTAATTATGTATCGAACTTTCATATTTCTGAAACCCACTTGAGCAGCAGGTTATTTTTCAGATATTCTAAAACCCGAAGCTGAAATATCGCCACCTAGGACCTCCATTTTTTCTAAACACCGAGGATATTTAGACGTTGGAATTCGACGCACGAGTGTCCTCTGTTTCCCTCCTCACCTCAACTGGCCACGTGGGCACGGTGGATGCACGAAAACAAAACCCAGCCCAGCTAGCACGTGATGAGGACGGCGCTGAAGGCTTAGAGCTTTGTTCTGCAGGCCGAATGGCGTGGTTGGAGGCGCTTTTGGTACACCAGTTGATTCAGAGGGGATTTGGTAGTGGGGCCCGTGCACAGTCTTGCCGTGGTTGTTGAGTAAATGCTCACATTCGGTACGGCATGGTAATTAATTTGAAACAGAGTAGATACCTTGCAAGTGCCACTCATCTGCGGTCTTTTCAAGAACCAATTGAAGTGCCGATGACTCCTCGCAGTTTGATTGGTGGAGTATCCTGAACTGCCACTTGCATTCGATTTCGCGCTTGCCTGTTGCCTACCTTGATGGTAGGGTGCGTGACCGCATGTGGAACCTCGATCTGTCGATGGGTTGGTTTGACTAGGCATATCTCTTTGAAGGGTTCTAACCTGATTAACTGCAGTCGTCCGTCGACCTGAATATTTGACGGGGAGTTTGGTTTGGTGATCGATTAGACGCAGTAGCCACTGTCGTGGTCATGAAAAAAGCGGAAGGAAAGGAAAGGCTTTCTGAAACCACTACCTGTTCTGAGAGTCAGAATGCCATCAGGACGTACAATGTGGAGGATTGTACATTCTAAGTCGAATTCGTTTAATCCAAACGCCGTTCAAATGAGATGGGCAATATGAAACTACTGGTGCTAGGCAGTTGTTCTTGGTTTAAGTCTGGGATTTCCGACAATTCTATTGGTTTATGGCCAAAGTCTAATGTACCTGCTAAATGGATACTCGATTGCGATTTACCATTATTTTCTTCAGGGTTTAAAGTATGTCATGAGTAGTTAGGAGCGTAATCTGGCGAGGTACGGCAGGAAGTACACACGCATGTTGTTACGCATGACGAGATGCTGTGCATTTTTCTAGGTTGTGTACACGTAAAAGTCGTAGATATGCACATGAGAGACGTGAATGATGGTGCCTGCAGCCTAACAGCCGTCGGTAAGAGTAACTGAGAATGATCAGGCGTGTTTGTGTAAGCAATGGGAAATATGAGATCGAGGGACCAGCTAGACACGTGAAAAGGTGGCGCACCAAGGTCTCAAGTCGCGCGTCGACCGATGCGAAGGATACATAATCTGTAATTCCTTACTTGGCTACGTTTGTCTCCGGGATTCACAAGAAAATCAATTTTCATGAAATTTGATTTCAATTTAGTCACTTCATGTTGAGATGTAGTGAAATTTACTAGCATCTTTCGAGAGTAAAATATCCGTCGAGTGAAACCGAGTGTTCAAGTGAAAGGGAGGCGATCGCGAATATTTGACGCCTACTCTACGCAATTTATCAGTTTCAACGTAGCAAGTCAAGTATTCACTTAAGACATGACTCCACGCCTTTACTATATAGATTAAATTCTTTTCTATAGAGATTCGGCAAACCATTAACTGCTTACAGCGTCCATTACACGCCTATAAACTACTGAATGTTCAAACCCTAGTATGAATGAGTCATGAGGCATTTAGCATTGCCCGTCAGTTGTGTATCAAATCTGAGTGTATCAAAACAAATTAATTATCGGCACTCGAATTTGACCCGACAAGGCAGCTGAGAGCAGTGACGTCATTCGTGAGGCTACGCTGCTAACGTGTGCGCGCATCTGAGCTCTGCCTCGCGATCGATAACCGGCGACACACGCTATTCAGCTCATAAGTGCGCGCGCGCGCACACACACAAGCTCAGAGCGGAACATGAGAGCTCCTTGAGTGTCTTGTCGATAACTGATAATGCATTTTAGTGCAAGTAAATTGCTACTTCAACTTTTATCGCACCTTGACAGAGGAGTTGAAAAAAAAGTCTCAAGTCCTTGGTTTGTCCACCTTAAAAGAAGACCATAAATAAATTCCACACACCCTGCAAACACCTTTTCACAAAAACAGATTCCTTTTCTGACAGTTGGTATGCAACGAAGGCGGCAACGATAACAAATAGCTACCGAAAAGGCCTTGTAATTTTAATGAGATGTCGCTTATCGACCTGGTTCCATGACATTCAGCCAAGATGTCTCTAAGCCGCATTCCATCAACTGAGCAGTTATAAATAATCCTGGCAACACTCGAGTATAATCTACAAATAGCCATCTAGGTGGCACCAATTTTAGAATTAGCTATCTCGACACAGAGCGGTAATGCTTACCTCAACACACGCACACACTAAAAAGGCTTGTTTTAAGCTGGAAGTCTAACTGAAATCTCCTTTTGTCAAACAGACGAAATTCGTGCTTCCTTGATCCTGTAATCCTGCCCAACTTACCGAACTTGTAGGACAGAGATTCTGTGAAAATTTGTGCAGGATGTCGTCAATTTGGAGTCGAGGTCTCAAGACAGCGTACACATCAATGCAAAAGCGTGTGCATGAAAATTACGCCACGAATCGTTGACAGCAATGTCGCTTTTATTTCGATTTCCAATCGATAACTAGGAACGATCCCCTGAATAGATCCAATGAAGGTTGGTGTCCCAAAGGCGCTAATTTGAGTTAAATCGTCAGAATTCAAAACTGAAACGAGAGCTTGAAATTTCGTTACGATGAGCGAGTTGTTGACACAATTTGGACATCGTGAAAACTCCGACCTACCGTTGTTGTAGGTTCTCACTTCTTGAATGGCCCCAAAGACACGTATTTGCACCATCCCACGGAAACTGCAGTGTCGTCAGTATTTTGATGCTGTACAGAAATGCGATTTGTGAGAAATTAATTACTACCGCAGGAATCTTGTGAACAGACGGCTGAGCAACGAAGCCTTTCACAACGAGTGGTTACAGGTCTTGGTAAATTAAATACACGTCGAAGTAACATCTGCCTGTTCGACCTTGACGGCTGGTCGCATGTTTGCATGACATTTCCACGCGGCTAAATCTATTGGTTTACAGGTGACTTCAAGATTTGTTCTATTTTCAGACCGCAGTCGCAGCTTCTGTCGCTCATTGGTCAATCAAATTCTGTGTTCCAGCCAACACTTGTCATTACAGTCTTAATTGAATCAAGGCTTGCATTTGTGCGTGATTATGGGACTACCGTACGTATCCAGGTTAAAAGAGTTCCATTTACATCATTGTACTATATTCGTTTCAGAGTGTGCGTTCATGATACGTCGGTGTAATCGACATTGCCTTACTGTGTCAGCTTGTCCACACGATGAAAGGCTACACTTATGAACGACTACCGTGACGTAAATATCGGTTACCTGGTTACATAGAAACTCGATCAATCATTGTTGAGATATTTTACGCCTATCCGACCGTCCGGTGCGGAGTTTGATTAACTCGACGTGAACGACCTCTTAATGAACAACAACTCTCCCGATCAACAGTTGGGGCACGACCGGCGAGTTACATAGTAAACCAATCACACGAGTAATAGAGAAGTGGTGCATCAAATTCAAAACATTTCAGACTGCGCTTCAAAGAATCATCGCCTGGGGTCATGCCAATCAATTGTTCTTATATCCATTACGAGGTTGATCATGGCAAGTATATAAAGATGTGAGAGGCGATTGGATGATTGCAAAGTTTTTCAACAGTTATTGGTCGAGTGCCTTTGCAGTCAGGTGGCCGATATTTGCGTCGAAGTAACACGATGTAGTGTTCCGTAAATTTACCAGAACAGCATTTGTACTAGGGGACACCGACACCGGAATCATGCCAGGTAAAAGCATTTGTGGTGGTGGACGCCAAAACTTTGAAGGGACCACTTTTGAAGTTGATACCATCTCCGAGCATTCAGGAGTCCCATAATCATACGAAAATTCCAACTTCCATTTCATTCAGACTGTAATAACAAATTGTGACTGTAGCACTCAGTAGTCTATTGACCACTGAGGCAGTTTAGGCAAGGCTCGACAAACGACTTAAACACGATTCACTATTAGAACGACGGCAAATTTTGACCGGTTTATGAATCCTCATCGTCATCTGTTTCACTGATTAAATAATGACGTAAACGCGGA